GAAATTGCTACCGCGATCGAGACCGCGACAGAAACCCTGACCGACACCGTCACCGAAATCGGAGACAAAGGTCGAAGAGACCGACAGGCCCGTAACCCTTCGAACGGGAGCCGCGGTCGAGAGTTTCGGCGGCCTCGGCCAATTTCATCGGCGGCCGACGATCACGACGACGACGACGACGACAACGACGACGACTGGGTTGCGCCGAGGGGACTAGCCTTAGCGCGGCGAGCCGTCAAGGCCGCTGGGAGAGACGGTTACGGAGGAGCAGAAGGCCCTTCGTTTCGCAGCCACCTCGGAGGGCTCAGGGCTGAGCTCGTGCATGGGGGCCCCGATGACCAGGCCGAACGAAAGGGGGGGATATGGGGATAAGGAAAGGGGGGTTACGAAATCTGCTGCATGCAGCTGGTTTCGGCCCCGCCGCCAGGCCCATTCCTCGGTACATGGGCGCCTCCTGGCGCCGAAAGGCGCTGGGAAAATCGGCTTCGTGATCTGATTATCGACCCTACTCTTTGCTATCCCCCCATTTCGTTCCCCCGAGCTGAACGCCGCAGGATTTTGGGACCCATCGGACGCCGAGCCCTTGTCGCGAGCTCTGGCAGAGTAATTAAACTTGGTCGGGTCGGTGCAGGCGACCGCCACGTATTCTATATTCCGGTCACGAGAGAAGGACCGCGCCACCGAGCGGGAGCAGTGTCGCGAGGAGGTCGCGAGATGGATTGCAGGGGAATTGGACCCAGTTGACGGCAGACCTGGGGGCGTCTGACGATCGGTTCTGGCGCTCCGCGGCGAGGCTGGCCATGCCCGCCGAGCGGCTGCGCGCCAGAGCCAGCGGGTGAAGGCCACCGTTGGCAGGCCCCAGCTGCGCGCGGAAGCCTCGGCGCCAGGCGCCATCGGCAGCCGCCGCCGCCGCCGAGTCCGCGCCTGCCGGCGCTCGATTGCGCCTCCTGCGCGCGGCGCGCGCCGGCATGGAGCTTTCCCCCCCGAATCGTAACAGGTGATGTGCAAGTCATCCCTACTGTTTGGTGAAGAATGCGTTTGTGACAGTAGTTCTCAGCGCTTCGCATAATCACAGCAACAAGTTTCGGTTCGAGGTGGGGTCTTGCTTTCCTCGTGGCTTTTGGAAGATCTGCCCTTCCAGTACTTACGTGCGCATCCCCGGGGAATCGACGCAAGAGCCTGGCGTTGATGCCGCGCAAGAATATAGTTGGCCCATGGGGAGCACACGTTGTGGTAAACCTCGAGAGATCTGTGAACACGTCTTGCCTGACGTCGTAGTCGTGCTCGTTTGTCCACGCGTACGCCGTCACACGCGTGAACACCCCACATGTGACCCGTAAACGATTGCATGCCTTTTCGTTGTCTTGTTGCTATACCCTTTGATCGGTTGTCGTGGCCAAGGTGCGACAGTAGATCAAACTCCTGCGTGCTCTCGCCCGTCCCCTCTTGCACCAGAAATAACGATGAAGTGCCCCCCGAACATAAACATTGCGAGATGCTTCCAACGCGTCTCTTGGAGGCATAACACCACGATGACCATGTTTCGCACGTGCCGGACTAGGTCGTACAGCTCTGCCGTATTGTTCGAACTAATGTTTTCGACACTCCAGGATGCAAGGCGGCTGCATGGTATAGCCCAGCATAGATACAAAACCCATTTGCCTGATGTTGATTCCACTGCCTCATCACTTATGCACCGTCGTGTTTCTTAAAAGGTAGAACTGCCACCTATCCCACCCTTCTTGCCCTTCCCAGTCCCTTTCGCAGCCGCCCGGCCGAGTGCTTCGTTGGCCTTGGCGTTGAGATGTTCAATTCCGGGTTTTTTCGTGAGTCGTCCAGCACTGACCAGGCTCCTTCCCAAACGATGTGGAGGGTATCATATACAGCTCGTGCTGAAACCACGGGTTGTTTTGCGATCGTGAGGGTGTTGTTGTCGGTGTCTACGCGAACCTCGGCTTCAGAGTACCCCCAATCCATTAATTTACTTGCGGAGCCCGAAGAAGAAGTTTCCTGGAACATGTATTTCCATAAGTTGAACTTGGCGGGTCCAAATCGTGTTTGTCACATGGTGTATCTGAGTGTTCCCGATGGTGGAGGCGAGTTTGGCCCGGAGGTTGGTGGAGACAACCTACGCAAACAAGATATTGTTGACATCGCTCTTCCGCGAAGATCTCCAGAGGTTCTGGTTATTTGTTCTTTCCAGCATGCTCTTGAACAAAGCTGACCGCCAACTCCGTACTGGAGAATTCTCCCAAGCCTCCGATAACAGAATTTGTCTCACGGTCCCGATCTCGGTTTGTGGACAAATCTGCAAGTTGACGCTCCAATTCCAATATCTTAGTTTCCATTCCAGTTGTGTGTGCTGCTCCAGAAAGCTCAGATGGTATGTTGGAGCGTTGCTCAAACGAATCCACGTGCGCAGGAAGTGTAGCACGATCTTGATGAACCGGAGCCGCTGCGTTGTTCAGATCGTCGTGTGAAATTCCATGTCTTTCGATGTCCTGGACGTCTTTTGTAGTGGTTGAAGTTGTTCTCGAAACATATGTTCGAAATGCCCAAAATCGTCAAAGCTTGTTCATCGTTCTGCGCCCCAGTATCCTCGGCCAGAATCTCGCTGAATTGTTGTTGACGCGCAGCTACCAAAGGATCACCATCCTCGTCGGAAAGGCCGTACATCTCTTCTAATGGGCTGTAGATGCGCCGAGTTATGTGTTTACTCTTATGTTGCTCCCATCGTACTCAAAGACCCCATCCCAGAAAGAATTTCGAGCACCTGGAAAAATGTCGAAACAGTGTCGAAACAGTGTCGGACGAGTGTCTGCCACGGCCCGACACGTGGAAACCCTCGAGTTTCGGTATTTCTGGGTGCTCGAAATTCTTTCTGGTGATCAAGGCTAAAGTAGGTTGAAACAAAGTTTACTCACAGGCAACGGCGAATGAATAGGTTGTGGGAGCGGTCCCCGAACTAGGTAGCTGACGGGGGTGCCTGGCGCCCGCGTGCCGCCGTTGCTAGAAGCAAAAGCCATCGACGTTGTATCGATGCGAAGGTGTACAAGTTGGTTCATGTCTAATGCTTCCAAGGTTCTTTGATTTTCTGGGGGGCCAAGATCCTGTCACTTCCAATTGTTCTATTCTGGGCCTCTTCATGGCCACTGGGGGGCCAGGGACAAGTGGAAACGAGCACGCTTAGAAATGAGCACGATTAGAAGTGAACGACGTGTGGGGATGCAGTGCGGTGCGATACGTCGGCGGCCGCCTTGAGCCTTCAGCGGGCGGGCGGGCGACAGGACCAGGACAACTCTTCCCATGAGCGTTCTGGAGCGCCCTCACGGCGTTCTGGACCGCTCTAGAGCGGCCCACAGCGCCCGATAGATCCTCCAGAACCCCCAGGTTTCAGAGATTCCCGATTGGTCCTGCTCTGACTTTGTCCCAGACGACTTGGCCTCCCTTTGCTCGCGGCCCTCGCCACGGCGCCGCCGCTGGCGCCCCAGCGCCTCCGCCTGCGCGCCCACCCTCGCTCGAGGGCCCCAAAACGGTGCAGTGACCACGCCTTGCACAGACCCCCTCGCGACGTGAATAGAAATACGACGGGCGATTCTTGCACGTGAACCTCTGGAGGCCCTCGCTGGGCATGGGAACTGTCACAGAACGACACTCGGGGTGAAAAGCCCGTCCCAGATGATGGGTCGAGACGGCGGCGGGCCGTGTTTTGAGGTCGATTTGGGGACTCCAAGGTCACTGCGCGGTCTGTCACCGCACCCCTCTGGGACACCCCAGCTTGCCCCCCTCTCTGCAAGGGCCACGAGCTTCCCCTGGACGTCATGGCCCCCGCTTCTCCGTTCAACACGTCCCCTGGTCTTCCCCTCGCCCGCGCGCGTGCCTCGGGCCACGGTCTGCGAAACCCCCCTCTCAGAGGCCCCTCTCCTGGACGACCCCGGCCCTCTCGGCTTTTTCTCAGAGGAGGAAAAGCCACCCAGACCAGACAATTGGCGTTTCCTACGCGGCCCTGGGCGTTTGCTAAGCAGCCCTGCCCTGCTCGATTCCTTTTTTGGGGCGCGTTTGCGAAACGACTTCGCGTGTCGGCCCTCTACATTCAGGAGCGACATGAGGACGTACACGTACACGAATCCACGCTGGTTTCGAGAGTACGTTTTGCCTGAACGTTCGTACCACGCGGCCAGTGTCGCGGATCGAGGGGCCGTGTTCATGTACATAGTTGGGCGCGCGTGTCTTTTGTGGGCTCCCTATACCGTGGAGGCGTTTGTTAAGGAATAGTTTCAGGAGGCGCCAGACCCTGGAGGATTCCTTATCCAATGAGGGCGGCGGTGATATCCATGGCCGATCCACGATTGGAGTTCCACCCGCCTCCAGACCCTGGATTCCTTATCGAAGGTGTCCTTCTCCAATGCCCCCACCGTGTAATGTGAGTGGATTTTCTGCCCTTTGTCTGATGTTCCAGCCTACTCTAAGCCTTGATCCCCGGGAAGAGCTGCGAGCACCCGGAGAGCACCGCAGCGGGAGGGGCCTGCACGTGCCAGGCCCCGGGAGGCGAATTGCTCGTTCTCGGCATGGTTTCGATATTTCTTCTGGGTGCTCGCGATGGTGTTTGGGATGTGGCCCTTAAATGCACATTGTTCATTTCTAATGCTTCGAAGGTTCTTTGATTTTCTGGGGGGCCAAGATCCTCTCATTTCACTTCTTCTGCCCTGGGCCTCTTCCTGGCCACTAGGGGGCCAGGAACAAGTAGAAACGAGCACGATTAGAAATAAACGACGTGTATGTTTGGGATGTGGCCCTCACATACGGGGGGAACAACATTCAGGAGGGGAAAACACACAGACACAATTGATCGTCAATCCCCCGGAAAAGATGCGAAACTATGAGAGGTGGAGGGGGAAGACGGAAAAGGTTGGGACTCCTGGGATTGGCGTGTAACTATTCACTTGCGTGTCCCTGGGCCCCTCCAACAACATAACTCTCGGCCCGAGTTTTTTCAATTCGAGGGCCCGTGCGCGGCGCCCTCCCGCGGCGCCCGCGCGGGCGGGCCGCGGCGCCCGCCCGCCGATGCCGCCGGCGCGGAGGCCGCGGGAGACCGTCTTCCAGGTCTCGACGGAGATAAGGGGCTCCGACGCGGGGGGGCAGGCTTAGGGTCGAGTCGGGCCTGTCCCTCTACATGGGGGATGCTCAAAAATAATTTGAAAAAGTAGTCTGGGGACGATGTTGTTGGTACTTCCGGGCATTTTGGGGGGGCATTTTTTAATGATTTTTTATTGTTCGTTCAAAATCCCCCTGTAGGGGGACACGCTCGACTTAAGCTTAGGCGGGGGAGGGGGCGAGAGGGGGGGGCGAGCGGCTTCGAGGTTCGGGCTCGTCGGACGGGCTTGGGCTCGTTTTCGGGGGCCTATAGCCGCTCTTTCGGCGACGTAGTATCGCCGATTCCAGGTCAGCTCCCTTGTCAGAGGCCCCATACAAGAAAATAAGTCCACCGCGGGAAGTGGCCTATCGAAAGACAACCGCTTGAGAATGCTCCACCGCCACAGTTCACGATGCATCGGACTTTAACACCGCGGATAAACCTAATTGTTGCGCCCTGACAATCACAGGTCGTGCCAAAACATTATTCCTGGGACCTCAACACAATGAATCAACGTGACTGCTGCGCCCCCCTTAATCGCGCCAGAGCACCACTCGTGTGATCTCAGCAGTGCGAATCAAACCGTTGCAGAAAAATGTGCGGGCCGCTCAGGAGAGCGCCACACTTTTAAAACGGACCGCTGTCCAGTTGTGAAACTCTTGCAACATTGAAGATGCATTTGCGCGGCGTTAGAGCGAGAGCCAATGTTTGAAACCGTACACCTCTACATGAATGACATTGTTGTAAACTTGTACGACGAACGTACGTGGCGCTACGGCGAGAGCAAGAGTTTGAAGACGGACCGCCCTTCTTGAAACTTCTGTGAATCTTAAGCTTTATGATCACAGATGGTGAGGATGTCTCAGGCGAAATCCCTGGCCCGCCTTACCGACACGCCTGGGGTGCAACACGGGGGAGTTATCCGTAAGGGCTTCGCCCTCTGCCGCCGGCCCCCTCTCCATCAGAACTGGACATATCAGAGCTGTTTTGGGATGTCTGGGCGCCGATGTGAAGACATCTGGGAACGTCATGCGAAGACGGCTGGCAATGAACAAAACACGTTGAGATGTTGGAGCTGTTGTAGAAGGGTGCATTGCCTTCTCAGGGCGTTTCCCGCTTCTTGTGTATTGGACGCCCTCTTGGAACAACTGGGGTTGCATGATGCCATCTAGGGATATAGTGGCGCGTGGCGTTATTCTCGAAGGTTTGCGTCTGCGGGTACAGCGCGCACTTTAGGAGACAGCGGGGGAATCGAAAAGCGCATCCCGAAACATGTTTCAAATAGAAAAAACTTGTCCTTCCGATCTGGAGAAGGGGTGTCGCTTGAGGGCAGCCTCTTGGGGCTGGGTGCGTAGCTTCGGAAGGGTGAATGTGGTGTAATTTACAAGGGATGATGGCGTCGGGGGCGCGAACATGGCGTAATTTACCAGGTAACGGGGTCTCGGAGGCGCGAGCGTGGCGTAATTTACAATGGATCGTGGTTTCGGGGGCTTGAACATGGGGTAATTTAAGGGTCATAGCCGCGGGGGCGAGGATGTAATGTAATTTGCCTGGCGTGGCTTCGGGGGAGTGAGTTTTTTTTGTAATTTTGGAAGATCGCGGCTTCGGGGGCGCGAGCGTGGCGCAAGCTACGGGGGATTGTGGCCTCGGGGCGCAAATTACGAAGGGGTCGTGGCTTCGGGGTCACGAGTGTTGTGTAATTTACAAGGGGTCGTAGCTTCGGCGGTACGAAGGTGACGCAAGTGCTTCGGAGTCGCGAACGAAGTGTAATTTACTAGGGGTCGTGGCCTCCAGGGCGCGAATGCAGCGCAATTTACGAAGGGGTCGTGGCATCGGAGGCGCGAATGTTGTATAAATTAAAAGGGATCGTGGCCTCGGGGGCGCGACTGTAAGGTAATTTACAAGGGGGTCGTGGCCTCGGGGGCGCGAATGTTGCGTAATTTACGGGAGATCGTGGACTCGAGGTCGCGAGCGTGGCGTAAGTAACGAGGGATCGTGGTATCGACTGCGCGAATGTGGCGTAATTTACGAGGGATCCACGCCCCCCAGGAATTCTGAGAACCCTCCCGGGGGACGCTAACCAGGGCCCCCTTTTCGGCTCCCCCCCTTCGCGCGGACAGTAACAATTTACAGTTGGAATCAGAAAGCAAGACTGTAACATTGGAAACTGGAGCCTGGAACGGGCGCAGGAAACAGCAACCTTAATCCTCGCAGCCTGGTGGCCCCCAAGGGGGCCGGCGGATTTAGAGTGAGGGACGGAACGATCATTCGTTGTCCTTGGGTGCGTGGCCGTTGGGGAACGATGTGGCTCCGAGTATCGTTGTTGCTTGTTGCTGCTGCTGCTGCTCCTGCTGCTGTTGCTGGTGTTGTTTTTGTTGATGAAGTCTCGCTTCTCAAGGATAACTATTGTCGATCCCCCCTCCGGGGCACATTGTGTTTTTTAATTGAGATTCCTTTCCAGGGGCTCGCACCCTGTTTTTGTTATTGGGGAAAGTCTTGAATCTCAGACTTGGGTCGTTGGCCCCCGTTTTACAACAGCAACGGCTCCCGCCGGATACATCCTTGCAGTTGATTCCCAAATCGCATTCTCCTGCGGAATTTCCTCACAATGTATGCAGGAATCGCGCTCTCGCGTGGGACGCGCTCGCAATTTTGTTCAGTCGCCGCGCCCTCGACACTCAGGAATCACGCTCTCGCTCTGGATTCCTTTACGATGTTTCGGGGGATCGCACTATCACTCGAAACTTCCTTTCGATTCATGCAGGACGCACGCTTCAGCAACCCGCCTGCTCGACCTGGCCGCCTGAGCCCGTCTTCCCGACCCGCCCGTTAGGGTCTATCCGCCCGATCTGCCAGTCTGGTTCTGCCACGTGTCCTAGACCCACTCCTGCTACTCTCTCTCGTGCTCCATCCTCCTCCTTCCCCCTTGTCCCTTCCTCCCATCCGTCATCTCTTCCCCTGCCTCAGGGGCTGCACGAAATACGCGCTGCAGGTAAGAAAGAGAGATGGATGGATATATATATATATATATATATATACCCAAGGGGTACGATCGAATATGAAGGGGGCGGGCATCGAGGATTGAAGATATACGTGTTGAGTGGCACGCGGGCAGGTAAGAGCGAACAGTCTTTAAACGATCGTTATTGTCGTCGTCGTCGTTTTCTCGCTCGCGACCCGCCCGCGACCCACCCGCGACCCGACCTGCGACCCGACAACCGACCCACCTGCGACCCACCCGCGACCCACCTCGCGACCCAGCCGCGAACCAACCACGACCCACCCCGCGCCCGCCCCCACACTCTTATCCGAAACCGAGGGGTGGTTCACAAGGAAAAGGGATGGAGGACGAGAACGAGGAGGAGGACGCGGAGGAGGAAGAGGAGGGCGAGGAGGAAACGGACGAAGGCGCGGAGGAGGAGAACGATGACGAAGACTGGCAGCCGTTCGGGGGTCTTCTGAAGGCCCATTCGGTCCTCTTGGGGCTGTCTCGCGGACCCCCTTGGCGCCCTCTTGGTGCTGTGTTGCAGGGTCTAGGGGGTCCTGTGGGGCTCTTTTGGAGGGTCTTGGGGATCTCTCGGGGCCCTCGTGGGGTCTTTTGAGGACCCCATTGACATCCACTCTGCGCAATCTTGGAGGACATCGATCAAACGAAGACGGGCCCTCAATTTCCTGTGCCCGACTGGGACCATCGAAAGCGTTTCTTGGGGCCTTCCTGGGACGCGCTTGGGGCCATCTTGGGGGCATCTCGGGGCTCTCTTCGGCCATCTTGGGGGCATCTTGAGGCCTCAGAAACCCATCGGAGGCGAAAAGGTCGGAATGCGAGAATCATGCAGATTCCTTTGATTGTTTCATGGTTTGGGCTTCTTGGGAAGGTCCTGAGGGGCCCCGAGAGCACTTGGAACCGTCTTGTGGTCCCTTGGAGGCATGTCGGAAGCCATCTTGAGCACATCTTCGGCTATCTCGACTCATTTTGTGGGCCATCTTGAAGCATGAGGGGCCCTCTTGGAGCCATTTGGAGCGCTCTGGCAGCCCGCGGAATGCTCCAACAAACCTCAGGGAGGGTTCCCTCCCCGAAGGGACGATGGTTCTGGAAGCGGGAAGAATTTCGTGGGACCACCTACGCCTAGAGGGTTGGTAGAAATTTCCGAAGTCCGCGCGGATTTCTTGGACAGTGGCTAGACCCCCGCTGACGGCGCCTTCGACGCGGCGGCAACCTCAGCGCGGGCGGTCAAGGTTGAACGCCGTTGGTGGCCCAGAATTGGCCGACATTGGACGACTCGCGCTTTCGGAAAGCCACGATCGTGCCAGGCGGAACGATCCTCGCGGTGCCGGAGACCCAGGCGCCAGTCGTCTCGACACGAGCCTACCGCACGCACCCAGACGTCAGGCGTCGCGCAGTTGCTCACTGCGTGGCTCCCCCAAAAGGTCTGGACCCCTCCCCTGGGCCCCGGCTTCTCCTCCCGGGTCGTCTCGCGGCGGCCCCAGGGGGCCCGGCAGGTGCCCCCCCCCCCTGGCTGAAAAGACCGCCCAGCGACTTCTGTCGTGATGTGTTTTGGTCCCGACGCGAGGATGTCCTCCTCCTCCTCCTCCTCCTCCTCGTCCTCCTCTCCTCCTCCTCCTCCTCCTCCTCCTCCTCCTCCTCCTCCTCCTCCTCCTCCTCTCTGCACCCCCTCCTCCTCCCCCCCCCCCTCTCTCCTCCTCCTCCTCCTCCTCCTCCTCCTCCTCCTCCTCCTCCTCCTCCTCCTCCTCCTCCTCCTCCTCCTCCTCCCTCCTCCTCCTCCTCCTCCTCTCCTCCCTCCTCCTCTCCTCCTCCTCCTCCCTCCTCCTCCTCCTCCTCCTCCTCCTCCCCCTCCTCCTCCTATTTGCACAAAGGCGAATTTTCAGAGGTCTGAGCGCACTCCCTGCATCTGCGCTAGACCCCCTTCCCTGGCCCGCGCAGCACCCCAGGGGCGGCGCCCGAGGCGCCGGGCGCCGCCAGGGGCTCCGGCGCCGATCCAAGAATTCCGCACGGGCCTCCGAAAGGCAGCTATGTTTAAGTTGGGCGTGTCCCTCTACAGGAGGACTATTCAAAAATAGTTGTTTAAAAACAGTCAGGGGACGATTGTTTTTTTTTATTAGTTTTGAAAACTTGTTGTGTATGTTTAATTTTTCGTCCAAAATCCGTCTGTAGGGAACATGCCCGACCGAAAACTAGATTTATGCAGTTAGTTGCTTGTTCCTTTTATTCAGGGTAAGTACGCCGATCTGTCGTCTTCTGAGGTCCGCTGCGAGACGAGCTTCGGGGCCGAGGTCCGTCTGGTCGGCTCCACGGAGGCGCTCGGACAGTGGGACCCCGCAAGGGGCTTGCGGCTGGAGACGAGCCCGAAGCTGTACCCCAGCTGGCGCTCGAGGCCGACTGCGCTGCTGGAGGCGTCGGCGGCGACGTCTCGAAGAAGAGAAAAGTGCATAAACCGAAAGGGTCCGCGCGGATTGCTCGAATCGCCGCTGAACCCCTTTGGCGGCGCCTCCGGCTCCGCCCCTGGCGCGCTCCGCGTGTTAGGGAGGGGTCAAGCGCCGATCCAAGAAATCTGTTCGGATCTCCCAGCAAAATGCGGCCTCATTGTCGGGGGACTATCGCTGATCTATCGGCGATGCATCGCCGATTCCAAGACAACATTTCCCCCTTAGCCAGCCCCCCTTTCTCGCCCCGCTCGTCGCCACGGCTGAAGGCGGCTCAAAGAAGTGTCCAGGGTGAACCGCCCGGGCGAGATCTGGGGGCTGGTGTTGAGCGAAGCTTTGTCGGGGGCCAGGGCGGAAGGGGAGGCCTTCTGAGAAGGGCGAGGGGGCATCCTTAGAAGAAGCCCTCCTGATCTCCCAGAGCCCTTTTGAGAGGCGCCCAAGTCCGAGGAGGAGCCCCCTGTGCTTCCTTAGAGGCCCACCCCCCGCACCCTGCCCCCTTCTCCGCACCACCCGATAAGGAGGGAGAGGTCGAGTACAAGTACGTCATCGCCGCCGCTGGCCAGGAGGCTTCCGCAGAGGACATCCATAAACACCACCATGCGTGGCTTGGGCAATCGTGGGGCTCTTGATGGCCCTAACCAGGGATGGTGGTGGTGCCCAGAGATGCGACGATGGGATTTGCTCAATCCGCGTCCCCGGGGCTCCCGACCGCTTCCCCTGGGCCAGGTTTTTACCCTCGAACAATGTCGGAGGTTGGGGGGTGTGAACGGAAGTGGCCCCGACCGGGAAATCGTTTTCGGCTTGGGTTCGTGTCGTGAGTGCGGGCGAGGCGAAATTGCACGATGTCCTGCTGGTAGAGGTCACATGGAGCCCAAAGGGTCGCCCACCACCCCAGGGGCGCGCCCCCAGACGGTTTTCACGCGGATTGTCCCGATGGTTGTCCCGATGGTTATCCCGATGGTTGTTGGTTGTCCCGATGGTTGTCCCGACGGTTGTCTCGTTGGCTGTCCCAATGGTTGTCCCGATGGTTGTCGCAATGGTTGTCCCGATGGTCGTTCCGATGGTTGTCCCGATGGTTGTCCCGATGGTTGTCCCGATGGTCGTTCCGATGGTTGTCCCGATGGCTGTCCCGATGGTTGTCCCGATGGTTGTCGCGATGGTTGCCCCGGTGGTTGTCCCGATGGTTGTCCTGATGGTTGTCCCGATGGTTGTCCCGATGGTTGTCCCGATGGTTGTCCCGATGGTTGTCCCGACGGTTGTCCCGATGGTTGTCCCGATGGTTGTCCCGATGGTTGTCCCGATGGTTGTCCCGATGGTTGTCCCGTTGGTTGTCCCGATGGTTGTCCCGATGGTTGCCCCAATGGTTGACCCGATGGTTGTCCCGATGGTTGTCCCGAGTGTTGCCCCGATGGTTGTCCCGATTGTTATCCCGATGGGTGTCGCGACGGTTGTCCCGATGTTTGTCCCGATGGTTGACCCGATGGTTGTCCCGATGGTTGTCCCGATGGTTGTCCCGATGGTTGTCCCGATGGTTGTCCCGATTGTTATCCCGATGGTTGTCGCGATGGTTGTCCCGATGGTTGTCCCGATGCTTGTCTCGATGGTCGTCCCGATGGTTGTCCCGATTGTTGTCCCGATGGTTGTCCCGATGGTTGTCCCGATGGTTGTCCCGGTGGTTGTTGGGAGGTCGTCCCGATGGTTGTCCCGATGGTTGTCCTGATGGTTGTCCCGATGATTGTCCCGATGGTTGTCCCGATGGTTGTCCCGATGGTTGTTGGTTGTTCCGATGGTGATCCGATGGTTGTCCCGACGGTTGTCGCGATGGTTGTCCCAATGGTTGTCCCGATGCTTGTCCCGATGGTTGTCCCGAGGGTTGTCCCGACGATTGTCCCGATGGTTGTCCCGATGGTTGTTCCGATGGTTGTCCCGATGGTTGTCCCGATGGTTGTCCCGGTGGTTGTCCCGATGGTTGTCCCGATGGTTGCCCCAATGGTTGTCCCGATGGTTGTCCCGACGGTTGTCGCGATGGTCACCCCAATGGCTGTCCAGATGCTTGTCCCGATGGTTGTCCCGATGGTTGTCCTGATGGTTGTCCTGATGGTTGACCCGATGGTTGTCCCGATGGTTGTCCCGATGGTTGTCCCGACGGTTGTCCCGATGGTTGTCCCGATTGTTATCCCGATGGTTGTCGCGATGGTTGTCCCGATGGTTGTCCCGATGGTTGTCCCGATGGTCGTCCCGATGGTTGTCCCGATTGTTGTCCCGATGGTTGTACCGATGGTTGTTCCAATTGTTGTCCCGGTGGTTGTTGGGAGGTCGTCCCGATGGTTGTCCCGATGGTTGCCCCAATGGTTGTCCCGATGGTTGTCCCGATGGTTGTCCCGATGGTTGTCCCGATGGTTGTTGGTTGTCCCGATGGTTGTCCCGACGGTTGTCCCGTTGGCTGTACCAATGGTTGTCCCGATGGTTGTCGCGATGGTTGTTCCGATGGTTGTCCCGATGGTTGTCCCGATGGTTGTCCCGATGGTCGTTCCGATGGTCGTCCCGATGGCTGTCCCGATGGTTGTCCCGATGGTTGTCGCCCGATGGTTGTCCCGGTGGTTGCTCCGATGGTTGTCCCGATGGTTGTCCCGATGGTTGTCCCGATGGTTGTCCCGATGGTTGTCCCGAGGGTTGTCCTGACGGTTGTCCCGATGGTTGTCCCGATGGTTGTCCCGATGGTCGTCCCGATGGTTGTCCCGATGGTTGTCCCGGTGGTTGTCCCGATGGTTGTCCCGATGGTTGCCCCAATGGTTGACCCGATGGTTGTCCCGATGGTTGTCCCGATGGTTGCCCCAATGGTTGTCCCGATGGTTGTCCCGATGCTTGTCCCGATGCTTGTCCCGATGTTTGTCCCGATGGCTGACCCGATGGTTGTCCCGATGGTTGTCCCGATGGTTGTCCCGATGGTTGTCCCGATGGTTGTCCCGATTGTTATCCCGATGGATGTCACGACGGTTGTCCCGATGGTTGTCCCGATGGTTGTGCCGAAGGTCGTTCCGATAGTTTTCCCGATTGTTGTCCCGATGGTTGTCCCGATGGCTGTCCCGATGGTTGTCCCGATGGTTGTTGGCAGGTCGTCCCGATGGTTGTCCCGATGGTTGTTTTGATGGTTGTCCCGATGCTTGTCCCGATGCTTGTCCCGATGGTTGTCCCGATGGTTGTCCCGACGGTTGTCCCGATGGTTGTCCCGATGGTTGTCCCGTTGGTTGTCGCGATAGTTGTCCCGGTGTTGCCCTATAGTTGTCCCGATGGTTGTCCCGATAGTTGTCCCGATGGTTGTCCCGATAGTTGTCCCGATGGTTGTCCCGATGGTTGTCCCGATGGTGGATACAGAGAGAGAGAGAGATACATAGATAGGTGAATCGAGAGATATATACATAGACAAATAGACACATAGTCAAATAGGCAGTTAGATAGGTACATGGATACACGGACACCATTAGCACCACCATCACCACCATCATCCCGAAGTCATTTGCACTCAAGCCGCTTCGCCCTGCAGAGGGCTGCGAGTATTCACATCGCAACAGCATGTCGCCGTGGAGTGGGCCGCGCCAAATCACCATGCCAGGCTCTGCCAGCTCTGTGCCATACCTTGGCTCACGCCTAGTGAGGCAGCGCTACTCGTGCAGCGCGACCTCCCGCGCTGGGTTCGCAGAACTCCGTCCCGCCCACGTGATGAAGGGCGAGCAGATGGCCCGAGCTCTCAAAAAAGCCCCGGGCGCGAGGCACGTCGGCTGGAACACGTCGAAGACCTCGCAGAGGAATGTCGGTGACCACGTTATGGAGAGCAACTGCCTCGTCTACTCAGAGCACGGCGGCCCGACCAGGCCTTTCGAGTTTGCGGTTTCCCGGAACCAGCACGCGAAGCACAGTGAAGGCGATGTTCAAGGGCCCGCTTCAGAATATGGACGCGGACGCATGGCTGATTTCACGCGCAGCTGCGGAAGGCAAGAATTTGTTGCCAAAAGTAGCGCGCCTGCGCATGGAGGACTGCTCTGCGCTGCTTGGCGGCGCGCCAGGCTCTGCCAGCGCATCGGCCACACAGGCGCGGCGGCCGTCGCGGAGGTAGCGCAGGTTGCACCGCGCCGTTGGGGGCACCTCGTCTGCCGACCGCGCGCCTGCCCTGGGCGCCGGAACAACGCCACCGCTGCGTCCGCTGCGTCCGACATTTTTCGCCACGGGGGTCGCGCCGCCGTTAGCTTCGCCGTCTAAGTCGCGCGGGGCCAGCGTCGGCGCGCCCGCCGCCCTCTCTCGAGGCCGACGCGGAGTCGGTCTCGAAAAATAGTAGGACCGGCAAGCCGGCAGCGGAGGCCGCGCAGGGCGCCCGCCCCGCCGCAAGGGCTTGCAGAAGAGGCCGCGACCGCGCCAAGCTCCGCCAGCAAGCCGACGGCAGCGGAGGCCGCGCAGGGCGCCGTCGCCCCGCCGCAAGGGCCTGCAGACGAGGCCGCGGCCGCGCCAGGCTCTGCCAGCTTGCCGATGGCGCCGGCTCTGCCAGCAAGCGCGCTGCAAAACCTCACGGTGGCGTTTGCCGCCGAGGACTGCGTTGACGAAACTATCGATTGGGGCGGCCCCAACGACGCAGCAGAATAAGTTGCCGGCTTCGAACCGCGGAATCCGCCGAGGACTTGCAGGGGCCAGTCTCTGACAGCGCTGCAGCGAAAGTGCGCGCGGCTGCCGGTCGCGCTGCGGCGCGCGCGGACGCGCTGCAGGCGCGCCCGCAAATTGGGCGGCAGGCCCGGCGCGAGCAGAGCATTGAGCTGGCCGAGATGCAGGCCGTCAAGGAGCGGGAGATCGAACGCGCGCGCCGTCCCTCTGTCGCGGCGCACCCGAAGGGCGCAGACATCCAGGCGGCCCTGCAAGGCGCTGCAGGAGGAAGGAGGAAGGGGGCGATGGGGGAGGGAGGGGGCCGGCGAGGATTGGGGGGGAGGGGGCGCGGCAAGGGGGGTCATGGCACAGTGAGATGCCGCCGGCAGTTCTACTCCAATCGGTCACGGAGGGGCGGGGAGCAGGGGGGGCAGGAGGAAGAGCGGGGGGGGGGTGAGTGCGACTGCGAGGACGGGGGCCCGCAGCAGGAGCCAGAAAGAGCAAGAGGAGGCAGAAGGAGGGCGGGGGGCACTCGCGAGGCATGCCGCCCAGAGCCTGCGCCGAGCTCAGCGAGTTCGGGGGCGGCAAAAACCTGCCCGAGTTGCCGCGGTCGCCAGGCTCTGCCAGCGCTGGCGCGCGCGAGATCCTGGCCGCCGCGCGCCGGCGGAGTTATTCGCGGGGGGCGAATGTCCAGGAGGCCCGAGAGCAGTCCGTGCACCTCCGGAGAGTGCCTCTCGGACCTCCCAGCGAATTCCGGGCGCGAGTTCGGCGAGCACCGCCTTTCTCCGCGGGGTCTCGCGCGCATTTGCGCGTGGGCCTGCCGAAGGAGCATGCGAGCGAGCTCGTCGAGCTGGATCGCAGGCGCTCGGGCTGGGGGCGGCGCGCCGCGGCGCCGGGCTCTGCCGGCGCTGCGCTTCCTGCGAGACGCGAGCAGCGG